GGGCCCCGCGGGGGGGCACAGGGTGACCCCGCGCTGGGCACCGCGAGGGGGGCACAGGGTGACGCAGCCCCCAGCCCTTCCCTGCCGGTGCCGCAGACACGGTGACCGCCCGGATCGAGGTGCACCCGCCGGCGCCCACCATGTACCACCGGGTCATGCTGTCCTGCGAGGTCTCCGGCCACGCCAGGTGAGGCTCTCCCACCCCTCCGGTGGCCAGCGGGGTCCTCGGGCATCCCCATGGACAGCGGGAGGAGAAGGGGCAGGACCGGGGCCTCTCCAGGCCACCCCCTGGTGTCCCCAGCCCCAAGTGACCTCCCGCCCGGCTCAGTCCTCAGCAATTCCTGTGGGAGAAGCAAGGGAGCCGGGAGCCCCTGCAGAAGGGCCCGGACAACGTCCTTGTCATCCGCTCCTTCAACGAGACCCACTTCGGCACCTACATCTGCACAGTCACCACGGCCCAGGGCCGCGCCGTGGCCACCCACGACCTGTGGATAAACGGTAGGGACAGGGTGTCCGTGGGGGGGAGGCTCCACGCGGTCCATGTGCCCGTGTCACCATCATGCTGTGTCACCGCCCACACGCGGCCACATCGGTGGCTCCATGAGGACACGGTGTGAGGAGGGTTTCTCAACGGCGCATCCAGTTTTGGGGCCAGCGGTGGCCTCATTGCTGGTGCGTTACTTTGGGAAGTGAAATTTGGGGAATTTCCCAAATTACTTCCTGGGAAATGAGCCCAGGTGGCGTGTCCTTGTCCGGAGGGGTGGGAGGTGGCCACAAGTCCTTGCTGTGACAGCAGCAGCCACCCTTTGCCATCTCTCCCAGACCTCTACACGGAAGTGTTGGTGTTTCCTCAAGAGACCAATGACTCCTACGTGCTGGTTAATGCAATGCCCGAGCAGCCGCTGCAGAACTTCTCCGTGTGCCTGAGGTCCTACACGGACCTCACGCGGCCCTACAGCCTCTTCTCCTACGCCACCAAGGCCCAGGACAACGAAATCCTCCTCTTCAAGCCCAGACCTGGCGAGTACCAGCTCTACGTGGGGGGCAAGGCTGTGTCCTTCCCCATTCCCGAGGCGTCTCCGATGGAAAGCCAGCACGTCTGTGCCACCTGGGAGTCCACCACGGGCATCGTGGGCTTTTGGATCGATGGGAAAGCCCGGCCCCGAAAGGGAGTGCAGAAGGGCTACACCGTGAGCAACGAGGCCGTGATCGTGCTGGGGCAGAAGCAGGACTCCCGCACGGGCAGCTTTGACGCCGGCCAGTCCTTCGCAGGGGAGATCTCGGATGTCTACATGTGGGACTCGGGGCTCTCCGACAGAGATGTGAGTTCGGTCATGGACAACGAGCCCTTCAGAGCCCCCATCTTTGGCTGGAGAAACTTCCCCTATGAGACCAAGGGAGAGGTGTATCTGAAGCCCTGAGACAGCCCAGGCCCATCCAGGAGCTACAGAGAGGGCACTTCTATGTCCTTGCTAATAGGGACTGGTGACCTTTAGGAAGCTGAGATGCAACCACAATGATGCCCCCCTTCCCTGTCCCCCTTCCCTGTCACACAATGTTGTAAGCCCAGGTTGCCCACATGGCATCAAACTAATGAAGAAAATGGCTTTCAAAAGCAGCAGAGGTCTTTACTGGTCCAATTTGATCCATCAAGCCCCACAGCACACAGGTGGGTCCCCAAATGACACCCATGGGTACCTCATGCTCCCCCATGGGGCTCTGCCCCAAGAGGTTGCGTTGGCCCAGTCAAGGGAAGAGGCTGTAGCCAGGTGAGATCCACATAGAATCATAGAAACATTATGGTTAGAAAAGACCTTCAAGATCACAGAGTCCAACCGTAAACCCTTCAACATCGTCCTGCTAAACCATGTCCCCAAGTGTCTCATCTAGAAGGTCCAGCATAGAGCAGCGAAGATGATGAAGGGCCTGGAGCAGCTATCATATGAGGAAAGACTTAAGCAAGCAGGGCCTGTTTAGCCCAGAGAAGAGAAG